TTTAAGTTAATTAAAGTGTTTTTCCATTGACTTCAATAGGCTTAATATTAGGCCTTCTGAATATCAAATTAATCTGAAAAATGTAAAAATGTATTAATCAAAATCCTTAAAAAATGAGGTATGTTGACTGAAGCAAGAATTGCCTTTTGGGGGGAAATAAAATCAAAGACTAGAGCAGAGGGAAAAAATCATAAATTTTTAAGCTAAATTTCAACTACTAATTAGGTCAAGAACTTTTTATATACATATAAACTTGAAAAGGATTGACTGAAAAGAAAATATGGACAGGAAATTGGACCGGAAAGTGTTTGTGTATAAAGAACTTTTATTAAATAACTTTTAAAATGTTTTGTTTTCCCTAAAGAAATTGCTGAAAGAAGAAAGTCTATTGTCTATTGGTACGTACAGCACACTATTAGCTACAAATGGATTCACTGACTAATAACAGTATTTATAGGCACCAGGCCAAAAGTTTCTTTATCAAGTCTAGTTTAGGCACTTCTTATGAGCCATTCAATAGCAGATACTGATATGAGGAGAGCAGTGAAATATAGTAGCGACTGAAATGTAACTGCAGTAATTAGAAGATAGCTCTTTATCTATACACAGCTGCCAGAAGTCCATATTAATTCTGAGAGGCTCTGTACCATAACATATACTAACAGTAAATGAGGTGAAGGAGGAAGACAAAACCATCAGATAAGTAACTGCAAATATTCCACCTGTTGCAAGACTTCCAATAAAACACATTTTTATTTATATAGGAAATACCAATACGTAAATCTTAGCTATTCAGACAAATGACATTTGTACTGGTTTCACATAAAAAGAGTAAATATTTTGCTGTTAGCTTTTTTGCTAAGAAACCTTCATCAACCCCTGAGATTTTAAACATCAAGTGAGTTGTGTAATCAGGGTAGTTATTCTCACTTTTGAGTGTTTACATGTGTTTTTGACTGAGGACATATTTTTGGAGCGTTGTGTTTATTAGAAATGTTATAGTTCTCCTGAGAAGTGACAAACAGATACATTAGGAAAACTGTTACACCGCTGTTACACCTAGCTAGCAATTTATTTTACAGCTGATACCTAATGCTAAAAATGAGTGAAATAAGGACCATATGAAGCAAGTCTTGGGGGAAGTTACAATGCTTCAAGATCAAGCTTAACAACAACACAAAACTCTGATTTCCATAGGCAGAATATCTTTTATATTCTTCGGAGGGCACATTCTTGGGTCAGAGGAATCCACATGTTCTTGCTGCCTAGCTATTGCCAATCGCAAAGCAGATTGGATAAACAAGGTCTATATTTTAACAGACTCCATATTCATGTTTTCTCTCAAAGTGATGAACTTTGCTAATGCTCTTCTATCACACATTTTTACAAAATCAGCTGTTGATTGTGGGGATGTATTAATGTCTCCACTCTGTTATCACTGGAATCCATGTAGCTTTTTTAACAGGTATACCCAATAGTATTATTGGACACTAATTACATGACCATCACTTTCTTAACTTATTCTGTACAACCTCTCCTCATGGATGACAATCCCTTTTTGTAGAAGGACATTAACTCTGCTATCAGTTCTAAACTTATCTTTTACCAGCTTTAGATAAAGATAAGCTCCCAATTTGCCATCAGCTAATATCTGAACAGGGATTCAAGTAAGGCGGGGGGGGAGAGCACCAACCCCTCCTCCCCCTTCTGTAAAAGCAGAGGAAGCACTCCTACTTCTCTCCCGGGCTTCAGTAAGCAACATTCTTCCTGAATTTCCCCACATCCTTGGTTGGTATGCTGATTGCTGAGAGCATCCCCTTTCCTGTTTCAATCTACTTTAACCACTGAATAGGAATATTCCTTCACAAAAACATCCAGGGGTCTCATTCTCTAAATACTTGTCCACTATGATCTAGTCCTTTTCACTCTTCTCTCTTCTTGAAAACCTTCTTCATCAGAATATATCTTCTACCCACCAGATATGCCTTGTTGCCAAACGCTGTGTCCTTTCAAGGTTTATTTACAAGTTTGTGGTTTATCAGATATCTCCAAAATTTCTCTGTGATTGTTGCTGGTGTTCCTTATACATTTCAACACCAGGACCCAACGAGAACATATAGGGATATTTCCTAATTTATTAAAATGAAAATGATTGTGAACTCTGGGGCAGGGATCGTTTTTGTGTTCTGTGTTTGTACAGCGCCTATCACAATGGGCTTCTCATCCATGACTAGGGCTCCTAGGTCCTAGATAACACAAACAGTAAATAATAATACTAATGCTGCTGGACCAAGCTTTATTAAAAAACAACAATAAAATACCACAACACTCTGCATGATCACCATGGAGCACAAACAGTTTCTCAGTTATCTCATGAATCAACATAACATTAAACTATTTCCATGTTTAAAACTTTCTGCTTTATTCCCATGAATTCAAATGAAAAAGAATCTCAGGATATAACACCACCCCCTAGCTAAACACACAACCACATTAACTGACCATTTCTGGTTATGATCATCAACATGGAAACAGTTAATAATGTCATTTAAGTGGTGATAATAGGCTTCCAGGCTAATCCCCTATTGAGTTGACTGGGGAAGCATACAGTTTTTTTGGTATTCTTGTTCCAGTCTGGCTGGCTGCTAACTCAAAAACCCAGCCATGTATCATTTTACATTGTGAAGGTTACCTTCATAACCAGAAGGGCCAGGACACTTTCTTCTTAAATAGATATGTAGATTCTAGAAAGCTTTGAACAAATCCGGGGAAAACCTATTCCACAAGAATCCATGGATTTTCCCCTCCCATGGATTAACTGTGTAACAAGTTAATTTGTAATTTACTGGCTACTACAAGGGTAATTGTCAGGTTGTTGTACCAGAAAAATGTACCATTCTATGTTTTATATTCAAAGTATACAAGAACACATTCCCGGCACTATTGTACTATGTACATAGAATCTCTGTGTTTTAGGGATTTATATTGCTGTCCATCACTGCAGTATCTGAGCACCTTCCATGTAAAGTGAACAGCAATAGCGCAGTTCCTGGCAAGCTTCAGGGAGTCTCTGGCACATTTCCCTTTTTGGGACGAAAACTCTGCTTGGGGTAGGGTTTTGATATTCTGGTGATTACTACTTTCCAACTGATTTTGACCAGAAATGGGAGGTTGGAGACAGAACAGTAGTTGAAGTTCAAGGTTGACTGATAGCTTCTTGAGCCCTGGACAAACTATTGCATTTTTCAAGGAATCTGGCAGGTGTGCTCTGAAGGAGCCACTGACCATTTCCATTAGTACTGGCATCCAGCATGGATCTGTTTAACTTGTTGTGGCTGTAATATTTTCAGAGCGTCTTGACCTTTGGAATGTGTGATGGGGCCTAACTCAGTCAGGGGTGGTGAGGTGGATAATGCAATCTGGTCATGGGTAGAATTTCCCTTCCCAACTAGCTCCATATATATTCGGTTGATTTTAACAGCGAGGTACACTGACAGCTCTTCACAGTGATTGATGCTTGGGTCCAATGTCGGGGCTATGGAATCTGGGTTGATTAGCCAGTGCACTATGTTAAACAGCTCTGCTGGCCAGGATTCTGCTGTATTAAATGCAGAGTAGACAGCCTCTTGTGCTGTAGTGGCATAATCCTGTTAGAGTTGTGTCAGGCTGTCTGGAGGCACTCACAGTTGTGAGCCACTCCAGACAGCGTGACACTGAAGCAGAGATCCCCAGGGGTTACCCCTGCGTCCACCCTGAAAGATACTTTGAATTAACAGATCACTACAACTCTGTCACTCTTAGGATTCAGATGATCACTCATTTGTGTGCATATGTTTGCTTGCTTTAACCTGTAAATAACTCATTTCTTTTTCCTAGTTAATAAACCTTTAGGTAGTTTATTACAGGATTGGCTACAGGTCTTGTTGTTGATATGAGATCTAGGTTACCAATTGATCTGGGGTTAGTGACTGGTCTCTTGGGACTGGAAGCAACCTGCCTGTGGTGTGATTTTTGATGTAAGTGACCATTTGTTTTTTGTGCTGGTATGTTTCTTAGGGCTTGCTCCTTCAAGGTGCTGAGCATTCTGGACGTATCCAATAAAGCACTTAAGCACGTATCTAACTTTAAGCACATGAGTTTAAGAACATGTTAGACAAACACCTGTGAGGGATGGCCTACGTATACTAGATCCTGCCTCAGCGCAGGGGGAATGAACTAGATGATCTCTCAAGTTCCTTTCCAGCCCTACATTTCTATGACTCTGTGAGGTATCCCCACTGAAGCCAACAGGACAACTCATGTGCTTAACTTTAACCACATGCTTATGTGCGTCACTGGATCAGATCTGAGTGCTCAGCACATTGGAGGATGAAGCCCTCGGGGCATCTGTTCTGAATCCTGCCCAAAGATTTTAAATTTCCTAACTATTTTTTTAAAATGAAGTATTTAAAAATATTAATTTTGTACTGAAGAAAAAAAGTTAGGTAAGTGTCCGTTGTTACTAATTTTTATTACTCATATCTAAATATTCTTAGGTTATACAGAGAAAAGACATTGCTTTTTAAAGGGCTAAGGCTCTGTTTCTGCAAAACCTTATATGCTTGCATAATGCTTAATGATGCGAGTAGTTTTACTGCAGTAAAGACTACTCAGGTGAGTAAGCACTTGCAGTGGTAGACACTTGGAATCCTAGTCTTTGTCTACCCTGGGGACATTTCCCCAAAAATTCAAACTGCTTTAAAATCAAACTAGCTTGAAATTTTGGGAAACTGTCCACGGTGTAGACAGGGCCCTAAAGATCCTAGTTAATGCTTACTCAGGCAAAAGAAGCTCAGGACTGTGTGACAATATAGGACAAAGAGGCTTTTGAAGAATTGTGTATATAAGCTTGCCTATGTTAGACCAAGAAAGTTCTGTAAGCCCCTTACTTTACAGTTCACGAATACACTCAAAATTAAAAAATAAAAGCAATTGAAAATGCAAAGGCAGGCAGGACTTACCAATGAGATACATGCCGATCCAATCCCCTGCATCTACTTCTTCCTTTATATCCCAATAGATCACTAGGTCCTGTGAGTGTCCTATGGAATAATACGAGCTGCTGACCATTAGAGTAGATCGGCTGTCTGAAGTGACCAGGTCAGTGTCACTGGTGGACCGTGGAATGGTTACCATCTCATGGGAGTTGTTCCTGATGTCCATGTTATGAAACTGGTCAGGGTTGTAGCTGTATCTGAGCGGTTCTTTACACCGGCGCCGATTCTGAGAGTTCCTAGATGGAGATGCCATGGCAGCCAGGCCTAGGAACCTGTTTTGGTACAGATTCTGTGAAGGGGCAGAAAGGAAAGAATATTATTTAGAATGCACTTTGTTGAATTTTATATGCCAGCTTAGAAGGGGGGAAAAAGTTGCACTGGAATGAGAAAACAATGAATGAACACAGTCTCTTCATACATGACTGTGAAACAAGAGAAACAGAATTTTTTTCTACAAGAGATGCATATCGTGTATCAAACTTTGTATTGATTAATCATGCCTATGGAGACAGCTGTAAATGCAAGATAGACAGGAGGTTCCCCTGTGCCACCAGGCTCTTCTGTAATAGGGATTTTGTGGAGAAACAGATGGTGGTTCATTTCTCTACACACCCATACATACATTCCAGGGCCAGGGGATGGGGCAAAGACTACTAGAGATCCACTCTCTTCTAAATTAATAGAAACACCATCCTCTTTCAGACACCATCAGCTAAATTCATCGCTGAGGTAATTTCCAGTGGAATTTACATAGGGATACATTTGAGCTCATGCTCCCCATAAAGAACAATTTCCACCACTTTGAGACACCAGCCAGTGTTCAAAAAGAAATTCTCCTCCCAGATTGAGATCCAAAGTACTCCTGCCACAAAAAGGAATGACCCCTTCTGCCATAATGGATATGTATTAGTGGCAGAGTAAACGGAATTACTTCTCTCCATTAGCCTAACTCAAGTCAGATCAGCCACACTGTGAAATGACCCTTGAGCTGCTGCACCTACCATGGTGCTGCACTCATTCGTGTGCAGCACTAAGACTTCAGAGGGAACATCTCAGGGTTCCCAGCACTGCTGTAAGATGAGCTGCTTTTTGAATATTTTCCTAGTAACTGTGGGAGAGTGTGACTGTCTTTTCTGGGCACACAGGAGAATTGTGGGAAGGCCTGGAGGACTACCAGCACTCCAGTGGCACTCGCTTGTGTCCAGACTGCAGAATGGTTGTGCTAGCAGCTGGCAAATTGTTCTCACTTGATTTTATCCTATACCTGGTCTCGGGCCTGCCAACCCAAGTGAAAAGCACCACCGCACTGGAATGAAGGGTTTGTGTGTGTGGACAGGACTCAGGACAGGGGCAACACTTGTGTTATAACTCAAGTTAAATCTGCAGTGAAGGCAAGCCCAGTGTGAGACACTGCTTGTTGTTTTACTTTCAGAACCATTTGCTATTTCTCTTCACCCCCTCTCCCCCAAAAGAAAGCAGCTCTGCCATTCAAATCACTCAGTCCCTCATATATTCCTCTCATTATCCACCTGTCTCCAGAAATGCTGTCCAGCTCTTCTGATACAACACCAGAGAGCTCTTTGCAGTTTCTTCTGCCATAAGAAGGGCCTTTTTACACGATCAGGAGACAAATCCATTTGAACTGAAATGCTTTAAGTTTAAGGGGGAAAAAACACGTTCTGTGAATAAAAGCAGTATTTTAATTCTGAATCCTATTCACAGCCTTGTACCATAGGTACAATACGGTCTGAAAGATATTTTATTTACTAATAAGACAGACTACTTTCTTTGAATGACTGGAAAAACAGCAAGATAATTAATTATTAGTATTAGTGTGGTAGTAGCACCTAGGCGCCCTAGTCGTGGACAAGGACCCCATTGTGCTAGGTGTTGTACAAACACAGAACAAAAAAGACAGTCCCTGCCTCGAAGAGTTTGCAGTTTTATTGTTTATATAACACCCAAAGTATGATAATCCCTTTACATACCCTGCCCCCAAACACTTACAATATAGTGGCCCAATCCTGCAAACACTTATTACAGAGCATAGTGTTTAATACTATAATCAGTCACAGGCGTGGACACTACTCCTGATAGTAAGCGTTTGCAGGACTGGGCCCTAAATCTACAATACAGAAGGCAAAATAGAGGCAAAGGACAGGACTACAAAAGCAGGAGCAGAGGGAGGACGACAGTAACCCTAGACAAGTGGGCAGGAATGAAGGAATACAGAGAACAGTTTACTGGTTGCTTAGTCTCTTGGATTTTTTTATTTTTAAACAGTTGTATTCATTTATTTATGTTAACAGGAAGGTGTGTTCACTTCATAATGTAAAAACAGCCCTTACTGTGAGGATAACAACACCATTATACAGCAAGGCCAAAAAAGGACTTGGATCTAATTTTATTTATGAATGTGTAACTAGCAAATGCATCATTTCGCTATAAAAAAAGCTATAGTTTCTCACATGCAATAAACAATATTTTTAACCTATTGAGTAGTTCCTGGAAAGGTGATGATATTTACTAGGTTTCAGTCAATAAACTTAAACCCAATAAAGATTTCTGTCACTCACCGTAGGATCCATATGCTGTAACTATGGCACAACCTGAGACAATCACGTCTGTGATGGTGAGACACCAACACCAAGAGTTTCAAGCTCATTACGAGTGATGGCCAGAAAAATTCTGTTTCCCCAAATATGTTGAGGATTTGGAATTTGCATTTGTTCCTCACCAGGACAAAACTGAGACCTTTCAAAAACGTTGGCAGAAACAAGAGAGTGATCCACCTACCCCAGAATAGCCAATAGACTAGTGGGTAGGGCATTCTGTTGGGATATGCAAAACCCAAGTGATAGTCAGCCTAATTCAGAGTAGAGATATTTATATATCAGAGTAGGGACTTGAAGCTGGTTCTCCCATATCCCAGAGTCAGTCTCTTTCTTGCCCAAATAATATTTAATTATTTATACAGAGGGAACAGTTCCAACAAGGGTTATTGAGAAAGAACCCCAGAATAGCTAGACAGTCAGGGCACCCACCTGGGATGTTGGAGACCCAAGTTGAATTAGGCATAGCAGGGACTTTAGACTGGATCGTCCACATTCCAGGTAAGTACTCCAATCACCAGGCTATTAGCTGTTCACCAGTGTCCTAACTACTGGACTGTTCTGAGGTTTCTCTCTCACCAGAAATTCTATCCTGGATCTGAGAAACCTACCTGAAGAAAGTTTAGTTGAAACCGATATTTCCATGAAAAGTTTCAATTTTGGCAAATGGGAATTTTCCAACAACAAATATATTGGTGAAATATTCCCAATCAGCTCTACTCATTCTTCCAGATAAATATGCATCATTAGCATAAGTTATCTAACTCATAATACATTAATCAATAGGTCTGTGGTTTCAAAGGCTATTTTATTTTTTGTGGCAAATTCCTCTAAGGAACAGTGGTTCTGCAGATACTTTTCATTTCTGAATTTTAATGGCTATATGGTATGCATTCTTACTCATTGTGTTCTTTCAAATGTAATACTAATAATACTTAATAAATGGATACTTTTTTTTCATCTTCAGTGTGGTTTTAACTATTATTTCTAGGGACAATTACAAATTCACCTATTTAAAAGAAAACCAGCACTTCAAGAAACTGTGCAGCTATTTCCATATGTATCTATGTCACTAGAACTAGTTGTTACAGTTGAAAAATAGTTCTGAGATTAAAAAAGGAATTACTTTTCAGCATGTCACAGGTAACTATTAGGGTTTCAGTAATCTAATGACCCCACTTCCCTGTGACACACCACACGGAGGAAAGTGGAACTGCTGCTACTGGAGACATTTATAAGGAAACTGAGACTGTCTCAGAGAGATATAACAATGTACAACAGACTTCAAATGGGATGGAATCTCTTGTCAGAAACAGAATTTGCCCCACTAGGTACATATATCAAAGCTAGTATATATGTGCAATGGGGCAAATTAATGTGACTAGGACCTTTATTTTTCCATTTCCTGACCTTTGTGCATTTAAAAGTGTAGTTTTATTGTACATTAATGTATCCTATTGCATTTAACTTCACTGATGGGAATAATTGTACAAGTTAGAAGCAAAATGAAAGGGTTGGCCTTGTGGTCAATTGGCAAGGTTCTGTGCTGATGAGTGGGACTGATTACTGACACAGGCATATTATTCCTCAGGCAGCAAAGACTAGGAATGCTACAGGGGTGGTGCTCTCAACAGCTGCAAAGAAAATCAACAGCTCATGCCACTCAACAACCATCTTGCCTGCCAATCATGAGCACTCTTCATTGTCTCTGATGGGACTTTCAACCTATCCTCCTGGGCCACAATAGATAGTAACTAGAATTTTGGACTGAATGTTTAGGAGACAAATCCTCGGAGTTCAGCAAAGGAAGTGAGAAACTCCCCACCAAATATATATATAAAGAAAACTAACTAGGATTGTAGTTAGTTTTCTTTATGGCACATGCTGAAACATACATATGTTACACTTCCAAATAAAAGAATCTAAGAATTTAATTTTGTCCTTATGAAACTACTGATGTTACACCATTGCAAATAGCACTATGCAAAGATGACATTTTATTGTTCCTTAAGTGAGATCGCTGCAAGGTTTTACATTGTAGACTATTTAATCCTGAGTTTCTAATAAATGTACATTCAGGACCTTTGCACTCATGCACACAGATATCCAATCATAAGTGCTCCAAATGAAACACTAGGAAGGCTTCTGCAGCAGAGCACAGTTAATATCAGAGATTAATTTGTTAATATTCCTCAGATTAGTAAAACAAGACCTATATCTTCTGACCAATTAGGCAACATAGTAAATGAATGTAATGAGCAGTCATAGAAGCTTGGCTGCTATCACACAAGGACTGGAAAACATTGCAAATACTTTCCTTAAAAGATGTATTCTGGTGCATGATTAGAGGGTATTTGAGCAGTATGGCTAAAATATAAAATCTGGGAGGGATAACAATGCAGAAATAATAAAAGTGTCCTTACAGTATACTTTTAAACATAAAAACTTTCTCTGTGTTCTTTCCAGAGTACAGAATGAAATACAGTAGGTGCTTGTTTGCAGCAACACCTTCTAATAGCAGCCGTCGCTTATGAGCAACATTTCCCCGGGGAACACTTTCCCTACTGTGAATTGTTGACACTCCCCATAACAGCAATAGCTGCTTAGGAGCAACATAGCAAAAGGGCATTGATATGTTGCTACTAATGAGCGTCTACTGTACTGAGACTAGAATTTGCTTAAGGGATGCTGGAAACTAATTTGAAGTCCAAAATTCCACTTTCAGTTCTATTCCCATTGAAGTCAATGACAAACCTCCCATTGACTTAGAACAAGGATCGGCAACCTTTGTCCTGTGGCCTGTCAGGGAAATCCGCTGGCGGGCCGGGACGGTTTGTTTACCTGCAGCGTCCACAGCTTCGGACGATCACAGCTCCCACTGGCCGTGGTTCGCCGTTCCAGGCCAATGGGGGCTGCGGGAAGTGGCGCGGGCCTAGGGATGTGCTGGCCGCCACTTCCCTCAGCCCTCATTGGCCTGGAACGGCGAACTGTGGCCAGTGGAAGCTGCGATTGGCCGAACCTGCAGACGCTGCAGGTAAACAAACAGTCCCGGCACACCAGCAGATTTCCCTGATGGGCCGCATGTCAAAGGTTGCTGATCCCTGACTTAGAAGAATTGGGATCCAGTTCTAGACTATAGGAATATGGAAGGTGCTGTATTCCCAAAATGTCTGGCAAAAACTGGAATTCTCAACAGTTTTCCTGTCAAAATGGGGAAATTCCCTACAACTTTCATTGCAAACTTTCCCCCAGTTTCCCACTGTGACATAGTATTCAACTCTCCCTCAGTATGAGAATATTCCATTATGAGAACATTCCAAATTGACCTCTGTGCCACACAAACCTTAGGTTACCTCATTTTTCATTTTTGTAAATGTTAGATTTAAAGTTCTGCATAATATAAATGAAGTTATTGATAATGGGTATAGCCATAAGGCGCATGTACGAGATTACTATAGCTAATATGATCATTGGTTAACAGTATTACTCAACTCTTTAGCCATTATGTACTCCTTGTAAGCAGAAGTTCAGAATGAGCTAGGTTTTCAAGAGTTGGGGGGTAAATTCTTTATCATCTTTAAAGCACTGGATTGAACCAGACACTTAGGCCTTGTTTAGACTAGGAAAATAAGTTTATTTTCTTAATCAGATTAGCTCAATTGAGCTAGCTGAAATCCATGGAAAATCCCTTTTATCACCAATGCAGACACACTTTTATACTTCATTTCAATTTTAGCTGCTCAAATGATAGTTTAAGAGGGAACTTTCAGATTATACTAAGTAATGTCCCTAGAAATGAGGGATATGTGAACAGTTTGTTACCTGTCCTAGTGTTGCTAACTCTTTCAATTTTATCACAAGTCTCATGATATATGGTGTTTTTCTTAAAACCTCAGCTGCTGGAATCAAGCAACTGCATACATATAATCTTTCATTTACCATGATCAACCCACTCCCTACCGCACCCCTCTCCCCCAATAAAACTCACACATACCATCACTCTAATCACTTCAGTATATTAGATATTTTTCGTTCATTTTCTATTAGGTTGTGATTTCTGAAGCCATCATCAATTTTGGTAAATGCTACTGCTTTTGTATGAGCAACTCCCACTGAAGCTGTGGGAATTATGCACCCAGTATTTGCTGGCAGAATTTGGCCCTTATTGCTCTAACCTTATACCATTAAATTAGGCTTGAATAAAGACTGGGCGTGGATGGGTCATTACACAAAGTAAAACCTATTTCCCCATGCTAATTTTTCCCCTACTGTTACTCACACCTTCTTGTCAACTGTTGGAAATGGGCCTTCCTGATTATCACTACAAAAGTTTTTTTTTACTCCTGCTGATAATAGCCCACCTTAACTGATTACTCTAGTTATAGTTAGTATGGCAACACCCATTTTTTCATGTCCTCTGTGTATATATATCTTCCTACTGTATTTTCCACTTCATGCATCCGATGAAGTGGGTTTTAGCCCACAAAAGCTTATGCTCAAATAAGTTTGTTAGTCTCTAAGGTGCCACAAGTACTCCTCCTTCTCCTTAAAAAAGAAATACTGTAACCAAAGACATAAATATTTCAAAACTTGCCGCACAATCTCAAGAAATCATTTATAACTACATATGCGTAATAAAACAAGAGAAACAACAGACACGCAGGTAGATAAATCACATCTTACAAAGGCTGTGAATATAAGAGTACTATAAAACGGTTAGGGATAGAGCACAACTAAGTTAGTTACCTTGTAATTACCATACAAGATAGATAAAAGATGGGCTATATATTTTGAGACAACTTACAGGGACCTGATTTTCAAAGGGTGGGTGCTTAGCTCTTTCTGAAAAGTGCTAGGGTGTCTCAAGTTGAGCACTCAAAAACTGAGGCACACAAAATTACTGGTCACTTTTGAAAATTTAAGCCTTAGAAAGTAATGTTGGATGGCATATTAAATACAAATAAATATACATACGA